CCTTCTGGTTAGCAGCTGACTGCCTTACTCCTATGCCACCAGAGCTCCTTATTCCCAGGAAAGACTCTGAAAATAAAATATGGTTGTGCCATGGGCCTCACCTTTCCCCCTGCCGTGCTCCCACTAGAGTAGAACCATGAGCCCAGCCCGTCCGACTTCTTGGGCCAGATCCTCCCCGTAAGCCTGTCTTACTGTGGCATCTATCCCCAGATCGCTCTCCTGATATTGACAACTATTCTGAGGAGGAGGAGGAGAGCTTCTCATCAGAACAGGAAGGCAGCGATGACCCCCTGCACGGGCAGGTAACTTTGCACGGCCCCCCCCAAGGAAGTGTCTAAGAAGCAAGCCCAGAGCCTCCTGGGCTCCCCAGCCTCACTGCACCCCCTCCCCACCTAGGATCTGTTCTATGAAGATGAGGATCTCCGGAAGGTGAAGAAGACCCGGAGAAAACTCACCTCCGGCTCCGCCATCACACGGGTGAGTCCAGCACTGCAGGTCGCCTAGCTGACATTCCCGTTGACAGGTGGGGTAGGAGCGGTGTACTCAGACCTCTTGGGGGCCTTTGTAATCTACACGCAGCCCCCCACTCGAGACCTGATCCTCCCTTCTGGGCCGTGTCCCCACCGCCACCCCACTGCAAATCACCATAGCAGGAGCCACTGTTCCTGGCAGGATCCTGTGATGTCCTCTCCTTTTTTTTTTTTTTCTTTCAACTTTTTATTGTGAGTTTTACAGCAGATTCATTTCACATTCAGCAGTTCATATACTTTCCCTCTTATATTCTTGAGGTTATTTGGGGTTAGATAAAGAGTTGAGAATTCGAAACAGAATTGCTGTGAGTCAGAAGCTACTCAGTGGCAGTGGGTTTGGTGCTTTTTTGGAATGCTTCCTCTTCCTCAGGGAACAGAGCACCTCAGGCACCCTTCCTCCACCTCCAGCTGCTTGCGTCCTGCTACACACTGTCCACCGTCCAGAGATGAAGCCCGTGCTCTCAAGGCACATCCCTGTTTTTAATCGTTTGTTGACCTTACTCAGAAACAATGGACCAGTGCAGGGAACTGTGGGTTAGGTCAGGTTCAATGACATCACTTCCAGTTCCTGTGTTAGTGGAGCCATAAGCCTGGAGACCAGATACCTTAGACTATCTCCTGCATAAGATCCCTCCGAGTCACCATTGTGGGTGCAATCAGTGATCCCAGACTGAGAAGCTTACCACCTGGATTCCTAGCCTAACTGATTCTGGGGTTCCTGCACTGAAGGCCCGGGCAGGGCGGGCTCAGGAGGACTGAGAGCGGTTTAAACAGCACAGTCACATAGTTTGCCCTGAGCTTCCTGATCTCCGAGCAGGGAGCAGCCCCTGGAGTGTAGTCACCCGGTTGGGTTATGCCTGACCAGGCGCTCCACAGAGAAGCCGCGTTCCATCTCCCACATCAGCCTGGGGGGTCACCGGGCTAACCTTGATTTCCCCTCTAGTCAGTGGCCTGAGATCATGAGACCGTTCTGTGTCCGTGTCTCATTCTTGACTGGCACTCCTGAATGCCAGGGAGAGGCACTCACTGGAGCTCAGAACCGGCCTGGCCAGGGTCAGTTACAAGAAGACACGCATCTGGCTCTGATAAGAGATAGAGGCCGGCAGACTCTCTCCATCAGCGTGCCTTCTTCTGCTAAGGTTTTCTTTTTCCTGCTTTGTAACCACGAAGAGGCCCTATGTTCTTCCTGTGGGGAGCTCTCTGGAGCTTTGTAAATGGCCCACTCCTGTGGTCCCCTCTGGAGCTGTGTGCGGTACGTGGCCAGAGCTCACCGCGCAGCTGTTATCCAGGCTCCCAAAGGTGCTGGCGGCGGCATTTTGCAGTTGTGTTTCTAGAGGCTGCTTTCCACCTCCTGTGCGCAAGCGTTCTTCTCTCCCTCCCACGGGCACCGACACATGGGTTCTGACACACGGCTGTGTGCTGTTCTCCATCTACACGCCTGTCTCTGGGCCCCCAAGTGCTTTTCTCTGCTTTGAATGCCCTTACTGCCATTGGAAGCCCGGCCTTTTTTCAAAACCTAGCTCAGTCTTCTTGCGAGATTGTCCACTCTGTGCCCAGCTGGTAGGCCTGTCATTCAGGCAAGAAATACTTTTAGTCACAAGCTAGCCATCATGACTGACATTGGGGACAGAGATAAAAGGGCACAACATGCCCTCCAGGAACTCAGAGCCCAGTTGTCCAGACATCTGATAAGTCACTACAGTCCAGTGGGGTCAGCGCTATGAGGAAGAGACCTGTGTAAGGGTCAGTGGGGGCACTGAGGGGGCGGCCAAGAGAGCTTCAGGGAAGAGATGCCAGAGGTGGCTTGTTAAGGACAAACAACCTCAGCAGATGAGGTCAGAGGGTTCATTCGGGTTTATTCAGGTAGCCTGTGTAAGGGCCCAGCAGTGTCAAGCAGCGTGCGTTTTTTCCCCACAGTCATTAAGTAATTTCCATTTGAGGGTGGGAAGGGAGGTTGAGTAATGAGATGAGGCTAGAGAGAGAGGCAGAACCAAACCCCCTGAGACGTGCTTACAACCCCCTCAGACCGGCCTACAACCTGACTCAGCCTACAACCTGACTCAGCCTACAACCCACCCAGACATGCTTACAACCCACCTCACGCCTATAACCCAACTCAGACAGGCTTACCACCTGCCCCAGACAGGCCTACGAACCTCATGGGTGAGCTTTGTTCTCCGGCACTGGGGGCCACCTCTGAGTCAGAGAGTGCTGGATGGAACAAGTTCACATGTGGAATGGTACTCTGGACTCTGATGGGAGCAAGACTGGAAACTGGGGGCGGGGGGTGCACAGGGGGGGGGGGCGTGGCCGTGTCAGCTGCTGACTGTTGCAGCTACCCGGAGCTGTGCCAGCAGAGGGCCTGGAGGAGAGCAGTGCGGTCCAGGTGGAGGGGGTGGGGGCCAGCAGCCTGGGACATGTGCAGGGCACCAGCTTAGACTTGGAGACAGATGAGGAGGACTGGGGCAGGCATTAACAAGGAGCGGGACAGTGGTTCCGGGGCAAGTGTTGTGTTTGAGCTGCCTGGGGGAGTTGCAGGCACTGGCACCAGCCAGGAGAGGAAGGAGGAGCTGTGGGACCAGATTTGGGAGTCATGGGGGGTGCGGGCCCTGGGGTCGACAAGACCTCCACCCCATCTGCGCCCACGGCAGTAGGCACCGCACTGTCGTTAGTGTGTCCCTGCCTGCCTCTCCTGTGTCTCGTCACCCCGTCCTGCCACTGTTCTTCACACAAGTGGGCTCTTGGTCAGCGCTGGGTGAATTGAATTGATTGCCACTCATAAGTGGATGTTGTTTGAGAACAATTGTGCGATTTGTTCCGGCAGCAACCTAACATCAAACAGAAATTTGTGGCCCTCCTGAAGCGGTTTAAAGTCTCAGACGAGGTACAACCCCCTAAGCCCCCCAGGGACACAGTGAGTAGAACCCCTTGTTTTCCCCTTTGTTCCTGGGCCCTCGGTGTTGCCCTTGGAAGTGAAGACCCCAGGATGAAGATTCTCGCTCCACTTGCTTGCCAGGTGGCTCCGCAAGAGCTGGTGGGGGTGGCTGCACACGGGCTTTTGGGCGCTCATAGTCTTTCCACGCGGTGCTCAAGGGCACACGGCATTTGAAGGTGGGGGTAGCACAGTTGTACCCAACCATCGGTGAATACCCGAGCTTTCAGTACGAGTGTTAGTGCCAAGTCCAATTGTTTTTCAAGCCTCTCCTCATATCCCAAGGGCAGTGTCAGTGAGCAGGAGCCTGAGGTAGGAGAGGCCTCGCGGTCAGCACTGACGAGCCAAGGACTGGCCGTGATTCCTAGAGGAGCCCTCTCTCCTGGGCCCAGAAGGCCTCTCTCGGTGGCTGAAGAAGGGGCTGAGGTGGAAATGGCTGAGGGCGAGATTTCTGTCTGTCTGTAGAGGCCATGGTCTCCAGGGCTTTCCCGTGCTGTTCCCTAGGAGGGCAATTTTAGTGCCTCAGCTTCTCTCCCTGGTGCCAGGTCACTAACTCGGCATGCGGGGAAGGCAGACTGAGGGAAAGGTGGCCTCACCGTCCCTGCTCTCAGGGTTGGATCACAGAAAGGGCATCAGGCCCCCACGAGTGTGATGCTACTGCAGGTCCCTTCAGGGGGACTCGTCGGGAGGAGAAACGGGCTGGGTGTCTCCCGTAATTGTGAGAAGTAAATCCTCACGTTCCGTGACTCCTCCCCGGACAGGTGGGCTTCGGGCTGGAGCACGTGTCGCGGGAGCAGATCCGGGAGGTGGAGGAGGACCTGGACGAGCTGTACGACAGCCTGGAGATGTACAACCCAAGCGACAGCGGCCCCGAGATGGAGGAGACCGAGAGCGTGCTGAGCACCCCGAAGCCCAAGCTCAAGTGAGGGCGGCCCCCACCTGTCCCCTCCAGGCTCTCACTCCCCTCACTCACAGCTCGCAGCTCAGCCTCTCGGTGGCTCCTCCAGGGTGTGGACCCAGGTTTCTGCTCCAGGGACTGAGACAGGACTCTCCGCGGGAATCCTCATCCAGGCCCTCCCTCCACCTTGGAGCCCAGTCGTTGGTCTGTCTGTCTTGACCGTCCATGAAGACAGCATGATGGCGGCTGACCCGCTG